CATATTCCCAATATACCTGTTCCTGGCCTTTCTGAATTATCTGAGGAAACTTTTACTGCCTCGGCTCTAAAAAGGGGTTTCAAACTCATTATTGTTCATGGATATCAAACATAACTGAATAATCAAATAAGGAGCAGTTCTGACATTCATCCCAGGTGGCTGTCGCTTGTTCCTCAGAAAGATTACTTCCCACTCCACGCACTACCAACACAGTGGAGGCATTAAGAGAGGCATTGTAAAATAAACCATTTTCTCAGAAGCTACAATTACTGGAGTTAGACGCATAGAATGAACAATATTAGGACCAAAGAAAATTATACAGAGATAGCCAACCAGTGAGTTTGCACAAATCAATGAACCCGGGACGTCAGGAGGTCACTTCCTTTGGCCCTCAGGGTCCATGGCTCGCTATCCTGAGGAGGGCCTCGGAATTGGATTTTCGTCCATGTCACAGGGCCACTGATCAACCTGGGGTCTGCGTATGCTGATGCCAGCATAGTCTCAAGTCAAACTGTGTTATATGAAGAAGAACATTGCATCAAAATTAGAGGTTGGTACAGAAAATGATATGGAAGCAAAGAAGAGGACTTAAGACATTATTTCAATGTAAAAATAATGAAAATGTTTACAACTGGTTCAAAAAATTACATCATGGTACTTGGAGAAATGATTAAAAGTCAAAGACTTCATTTTGTTTTGATCCATAATCAACATTCATGGAAGCAACAATCAAGAAATCAAACAACTTATTGCATTAGGCAAATCTGATGCATAAGATCTATTTAAAGTTTTAAAGAGCAAAGTTTGAAGACTATGCGGTGTGAGACAAAAGCCACGATATTTTCCTTTGCTCCTTATGCATATGAAAGTTGAAAAATGAAGAAGGAATCCCATAAGAGAATCAATGCATTTGAATTATGGTGTTGACAAACGGTATTGAATGTGCCATAGACTGTCAGAAGAACAAACAATTTTGTCTTGGAAGAAATACAGTGAAAATATGCTTTAGAAGGGCAGATGAGGGAACTATCATTCTCCTTTGGCCATGTTCTCAAGAGAAATCAGTTACTGGAGAAGGACGTAATACTTGATAAAGTTGAGAGTAAGCAAAACGAAGACCTCCGACAACATGGATTGACACAGTGGCAGCAACAATGGGCTCAAATATAACAACTGTGAAAATGGCTCAGAACTGAGCAGTGTTTCATTCTGTTGTGTATAGGTCTCCATGAGTCAGAACCAAATAGAAGGCACCTAACATAGTAACATACTGAGCATATATTCTGAGAAGCTAAATTATATGAAGAAGAATGTGGCATTGGGATTGGAGGAAGACTCATAAACAACCTGTAATATGCAATATATATATATATATATATATATATATATATATATTGCTTTCTGGAAAATAAGAGGGCTTGAGTTATTCCATGAGGAAGATCAGCACAGATTGCACTTAGATGTCAAGAAAAATAAAATCTTCACAACAGGTCCATTATAAGTAACAGCACGATATACAAAGAAAAGATTATAACATTCAA